AAACTGCCCATACCAATTAAAAATTCTAAACTAATGAGAAAAAGTGAGTAGACAGGCATAATTTACTTAAAGTTACTTACTTGTAGAGGAACAAATGTTGGCATAATCAATGTGGTGAAGTTAATGATCACAGACCCTAAGTGGGAGAATACAGTTAATTTGCTTTTACTGTTACTGCTGTTACAGTTATACCAGTATACTGTTATACTTCCTTTTACCATCGGCAAAACACCTTTATGTATTTAGGTCTCAGAATCTTTACCTGTGGAATAAGAGGAGTCAAACAGATATTTGAAAGGTACTTCTTGGGTTCTCTTTGTATGCTGTTAAAATCGGTGCACTGTGTTTACTACATACATCCTGTCCAGAATCAGGAAATTTAAGTAACTGACCACAAGGGGGAGAACTTTAATTCTGCATTAAATTATTTAATACGATATGAAATGATTTGAAAGTACTTGGCTATGTGAGGTTGGGGATATGCTGCTTCATTTCCACTTCCTTGTGGAAATTGGGACATTCAACTGCTAGTGATAGGTTTAGCTTAATTGAAATGTGATTTTGTGTTTGTAGAGTTATGATACAGTCACCGGATGTCAAATTATATTTGTATTAAGCAATGATGCTCCATGAAGGTATCCAGATGCCTTTTTTATTAAAGTGATGATAGTAGAATGTTAGAATTCACCGTGGAAGAGTTTTTCCTTTCAAATAATGTTGTTTAAGTTATTCTGCAAGAAATCTATTACCTTCTTGAATGTCAACTCTGAAACAAGAATAGGATCATCAACAGGGCAGTCTGTTGTGAAGTATTCATATAAAAAGAAAAGAATTAGAATAGTGCTAGCCACACCACTTGAATGTAATATGATCATTGGCTTTATATGAGTATATGTTATATGTTTGTTGTTACATGAATATTAAATATTATATGTTCACACTGTTAAATATTCATTTTTCTGTTTGGGTTAACTTAAGTACTTTTATTTTATTTAAAATTTTATTTTAAGGCAATTATAGCTTTCTTTATTTTTAAAAAATTTTATTTGATTTTATTTTAAGTTCTGGATACATGTGCAGGATGTGCAGATTTGTTACATAGGTAAATGTATGCCATGGTGGTTTGCTGCACCTGTCTTCCCATCCCTTAGGTATCAAGCCCCACGTGCATTAGCTATTTACCCTGATGCTCTCCTTCCCCTTGTACCCCTGACAGGCTGCAGTGTGTGTTTCTCTCCCTGCGTCTATGTGTTCTCAATATTCAGCTCCCACTTATAAGTGAGAACATGAAGTATTTGGTTTTCTGCTCCTGCATTAGTTTGCTAAGGATAATGGCCCTCTGTTCCATCCATGTCCTTGCAAAGGACATGATCTTGTTCCTTTTTATGTATAGTATATATTCATAGTATTCTATGGTGTGTGTGTGTGTGTATATATATATTTGATAAAATCCAGAAATTTTATCAATTTTTATCAATTTAAAATATATATACACACACACACATATATATACACACACATATACATATATATACACACACACATATACATCTATATACACACACACGCACATATATATAACATTTTCTTTATCCAGTCTATGATTGATGGGCATTTGAGTTGATTCCATGTCTTTGCTATTGTAAACAGGGATGTGATGAACATAAGCATGCATATATTTTCATTCTACTATTATTTTCATTAAGAATTAACTTATGAGTCATACTAAGGCTTAAAAGTTTACATTTTTACTAAATTTGCAAGGTATGAAGATAAGATTTCTGGATTTTATCAAATATACCCAAATATACACAGCTAAATGAGTCCGATTTAAAGACATTATATTAGTAACCTATATAAGTATCTCAATAACTCATTTGTTACTGAAAACAATTTGTGCTTCCCCTTAGAAGCATTGTCACTCTCTTTTTAATATGTTTAGTGACAGCAGACCTGTCTTTGAGAGTGAGTATAGATTAAAAAAAATTCTATATGGAGATCAAATCTTAAAGTTACTAATTAAGGTAGAGTGTAATGATAATTTGGAGATCAAAAATTAGGTATAATTAAAATATTCAATCTCCCTTTGATTTATAAACCTCCTTTATTCAACTGCCATTGAGTCACAAAATGTTTTCAGCAATGGTAGTGTTACCTGGACAAATATAAATCTTCCAGAAGTGACTCCTATACGGGGTAAATTTATTTGAATAAATTCATTCTGATGTATTCACAAAAATGAACAAATAAATAAGTAACTGAAATTATTTCTAGTCACAATGTGTTTATTTTCCAGTTATGTTCATAGTTGAGCCTTCATGAATTCTTTAAAATTATGATATACTAAGTAAATCAGCAATTTTATCGTTGACAGATACTCTATAACTTCTTTCAAAAATGATTAAGATTGTTAATAATTCTCTTTTTGGCTTAGTGAATTAGGTTTCTATCGGTATTTCTCACACCAAAAAGTATTATAGACCCATAAAAAAATCTATGCCAGGCAGTGTGGTGAATATACATCTTATTGCTACTTGTACATCCAGTGACTAGCACAGCGATTGGTCGACTAGTACATTTTTACCAGTAGCTATCCAATAAATTTTGGTACATAAATTAATGAATAATAAATGATACAAAGAGCTTATATACATATACATTATTTGCCCCATTACATATGTATTATTTTTCCACAGTGCTGCATAATCATTCACCCAAACCTTAGTGGTTAAATAAACAATAATCACTAATGTTCACGGAACTCCAATTTGGGCAGGACTCAGTGGAAACAGCTCATCTCTTCTCCACACAATGTCAGCTGAGCTGGCTTCCCAGGTTTACCGGAGGCCTGGGATCTGGGGTCACATGTCTAGTGGATGATAGGGGCTGTTGGCTGCGACCTCAGCTCGGGATGTTGTCTGAAATTGCTGGATTTCTCACAGCATAGTGTTTGAATTCCAGGAGCTAGCATTCAAGTGAGCAAGGCAAAGTGCACAACATTTTTATGACCTAGCCTTCAAGATCACACGGAATCATTTCTTTTGTATTTTAGTGGTTGAGGCAGTCACAGAGGAGGTTTGCCTGCGTTCAAGGGGAGAGAGTTAGAAGCCACTACACAATGGGAGGAATATCAAGCTCATGTTGTAAGAAAGGCGTGTGGGATTGGATATATTGCAGTAACCATTTCTGGAAAATACAATATTCCATAATTTCTTATTTATAAGCATACAATTTTTTATCCAAAACCCAAACTTCTATTCACTAGCTAACTTTAGAAAATACTATTCCCAAACAAAATTCACCCTGCTAAAGAAATTCTGTCTGATCCAATAAACATTTATTATCCATTATTCTCTTATATATGCTAGTCTTCTGTCCCAAACGACTTTCACATTCATTCTAATACTGGACCAAGGAGTATATCTTTGTTAAACGTTTTCTCTATTCCTTTTTTGGCTGGGAAAATATTTACTTACGTTTCCAGTCAGTTTGTCACTGATCATTTACTACTGATGGGCCCCTGTGTCTTTTTCACAGTTTAAAGAATAGACAGCATATTGCTGATTAATATTAGGTGTTTTTTTCTAAATTGATATAAATTTTGAAAGTTATATACTCTTTCTTAGCTAGAAGAATTCTCATTTTGTCTAAAACATTTTTTTCTATTACTAACTTGAAAGAAACTTCAAGTTCAGTTAAAAGTGAAAAACACCATTCTAATTAATGATGTATTACAAAATTTGGAAAATAGAATGGTCTTTCCTAAAATTTGATTCTGTCATGTAACAATGATGCATCTCATTTTTGTTTATTATATACATTTTGTTTGTTACATAAAATTTGGTCAGTATTTTCATATGCAGAACAAAATTTTCTGCAAACAAAAAATTTGAAGTGCACAGTGAGATTGGTTTGGCCCCCAAATAAGTTAAAAATTAAATAAATAAAAAAATTAAAACTATGATATAAGTATTTTCTCCATTAACTCCAAAGTCTGTTTCATAAGATATTAAGGTAATTTGGGACATATGTCATTGCAGTATTCAAAATATTGATGTCAATTAATTGTTTAAACAAGCTAAAAACTTTTAAACAATGCGCAAAGTATTCATCTGGATAAAAGAAGGGATCAACTTGAAATTGGTCATATAGAAATCATATATAATTAGTTACTTTCTAGAAAGTGAATTGAGAAAATAACCAGATTGTTTATTTTACATAAAATCATTTAGAAGTAAGTTTTAATAGTGGGCAGATAATGTTTTCTGTGTACCCTGCCATATCCCTTAGCACCTGGCAAATGTTTGTAACATAGAGGGATGTTCAATAAATGATGTTGCATGGAGTAGCACAATGCCATTTGAAAATGTATTTTCTTCTCATTCCAAATAGCTATTGTTTTCTGTAGCTTTATAATGGTCTCAATGCTCTTGATTGTATAGGCCAGAATATATGGACTTTGGAAATATTTTTTATAATTAGATTTTGTTTTCTGAATGCAGGAATTTTACAGTGATTATTCCTTCACTTGTGCTCTCAAAGCCCTTCCTATATACTGTTACTATAATGATATATTATATTACATTACATACCATATCGTAACTACTTCTACATGTACTTGCCTCTAATCTTAGGTTGCAAGCAACTCAAGCGTGGGATTTTTCTTCTCTATTTTATACCCTCAGAACACTGTACTTCTGGTGTTTAGTCATGACTATTCATTAACTGTTGAGGGATTGGATGACAATCTGAATTCCATTTGTCTTTTTTCATCCATTTTATTTTTTTTGAAAAGTGTCAATTCGTGAAAATGATGTTAATATTTGAGAACTTATGATAAACTTATTAAACCCATCTATCTAGTAAAATAATGTATTGAACTCTAATATCACAACAAATAGATACATTTTAAAGTTTAGCTCAACATATTCTGTGAAGATTAATATATTACCTCCATGTATATTGCAATATTCTGTTTCTTTTCTTTTAAAAGGGATAAGTAACTTTAAGAATGTTTTCTTCTTTATTTAAGTAGCACAAATTCCTTAAGAGACATGAGCACATTATCCCTCTCAATCCTAGAAACGTGAAGGAGCAGGCCATACCACCTCAGAATCCAGAATGATGTGTATGGGTCTATTATACATGTTTATAAATGTTGCTGGGTCCATGAATTCTTCAGATTTGCACAAGTACTTTATGATTTGTTCTGGGAGGAGCAGGTCAGGTGCAACTTGGTGTAAGTTATCACCTGGTCCTTTAGTGCCTACTTTCATAGTCTTGCAAAGATAGACTGACAGTTTATGAGTTTGTGTGAGAAAATCTGTGATGACCTCTTTTAGGGACTGTGATTGTGTCACATCATCGAGATACATAACTGGCACTTTTATCACTGAAACATGCCATTGCATAAAAAGCCTCATTGGAATGTTATGAGAAATGACTATAATTTTCATTTGTTGAATAAAAAATTCTGTTTCATCTTTGTCATGGCCAGTATAATCTAAAAGCACTTGGTAGAGAGTGTCGCTGGAGGACTCGAGGATATGCAGAATGGAAGTAGGATAGATGAGCAGCAATCCTGTCACTGTTTCTCCCAGGTGATGCTTCAAAACTGACTGAAACACTTGTTCATAGTAGTCAGCAATATCTTTTCTTTCTACCTTTGTTTGTATCTTGGCCACTAGAAACATCCTATGAAGAAGGAATTTCTTTAGGTGTAGTCGTTGTTTCTCCTCTTGAAAGTGCAGGTAATTGCTACGTGGGACTTGGAGCAAAAGATGAGGCCCCAGTGGCAAAGGCCTTTTGCTGCCCTTCTGGTTACGGACCGAAAAGGACATGATGAGTCTTATTTATTTTACCAGATGATTCTAGTTTTTAGCTTTTCATGATATTTACGCTGTCAGGGTGCCTCTGTAGTGATGAACTCTTGTTTTCATTTCTTCTGACAAGAAAAAAAAAAGAGTAAATCACAGTTTGTCAAATGTTACTAAATAGCAAAATCCCAATCTTTTACCAGTTTTATCAGGAAACAATATCTTTGAAATGAAAGATAATGTTAAAACAATACTCAAACTATAGAGTTGTTTTTTTTTTTTTTTTTAAGTTTACAATGAAAGAGCTAAATCATATCCTAGGAAAAAACTTTGTAAATGTCATGTAATGGTGATTACAGATTGTCCTTTATAAGACAAATTTTAAAAAATTGTATTTTTATGGTAATTCTTCCAATTTCTTTTATAAATCTAACTGGTCTATAACTCTTTTTAAAAAATCCAAGGCTTTCTAAGTCCTAATTAGCTATGTAACCTTTAGTCAGGACCCTAATAGTTAATAATGTTCCTTGATTAATTACAGTGAACATTTCAAGGGAAAAGTTTTGGTTCTTTGTTTTTCCTCCTATCGACAAATCTCAGAAATGATTCTTTTTTTCCCCCCTTTATTATTATTTTTTTCTTGTTGTTGTTGTTAAGGGCTACATGAAAGTATTCTGCTACTTTAACTTACTCTGCTTACAAATCTCCTCAAATTTTTTTCCAGGTCAACTTACCATTTTTCTTTGTTTCCTGTGCTTCTGTCACGTACCTGTCCTCCAGGCCCTGCTTGTCCTCCATCAGGCTCCCAACTGCCAGTTCTCTGGTGTTCTCAGCTGTCCTGTGTTCTGCCTTCCCTCGGGCATATGTGAGTCAGAATGTCAGCACCATTAAAGGACCAGAGCGCCAAGTTTCTTAATTTAATACGGGTATCTTGACAAACACTTCAAAGTCACTGCAGAGGAAGTGTGAATGGCTTATTCCTGAATGGTTTATTTTTAGTCAGGTGCATTTGTAAGTCAGACAGATGGTGAGAATCTGGACATCTTTTTCCTTTCTTTTTTTCTTTTTGATAAATAAAAAGTATGGTTGTAGAACTCCTCTGTTCTACTTAGACACTAACTAAAGACTTTAAGAACACATATCTGAACCTATGTAATGGTGAATATGTGATGAGAAACTTCTATAGTAAGATTTGGTTTACTTAACTTAATGTGAATTTAAGAGCTGCACCTCTTAACATTGTGTCTTAAAAGACGCACCTCTTAAAATTGTGTCTTAAGAGATGCATCTCTTAAAATTGCATCCACATGAGTTCTAAACAATAATTTTAAAACAAGTTTAGAAAACACGTTTATTCAATTTTTAACAAACCTAAGAGTAATTTTTTCCCTGAGGTCTGTATTATCCAAACTAATGATCTGATTTTAATGAAAATACAATGATAAATTATCTAAGTAAATGAAGGTAGAGAGGTGACTTAATAATTATTTAATGGTGTAATACATAAAAATGGACTGTTCTTCCTCATTGTGATTCACTTTGTCACTCCCTGAAGCAATACAATGTTTCCCAAGATGTAAACCATGGTGCCAAACCATGTCATTGCCCAGTCTAGTTATTATCTCACTCTCATTGTTCTTACAGCTTTGCTGGAAGAATGTGTCCATGTTGACTAGAGCCTTCATTATGGCCTTCTCTCCTCTCCTGGTTTCTATGATACTGCACTTTCTTGAATTTCTTTCTAAATCTCTATATGTGGCCTCACCCCGTAATACCTTCCCACACCCAACTCTGGGAAATACTGAGGCTCTGCGCTCATGATGTGGATGGATGTCCTGCTCTACTTCTTTGCCCAGTTAGCTCAGTACCATCTATATGTCTCTTTTGTGAGGGCAGGTAAGTGGTCCTTAAAGTCACTCTTGCCACTAGATTGCACGATTGAAATTGGAAAGTGATCATGGGACTTTCCTGCGGAGCTCAGCTGTGGACTAAAAATCTTTTACAATCTGAGGCTCAAGGTAGACACAACTAGTTGATTGGGGTTGAGAAAGAAGAAGAAACCGAGATCCCATTCTAGATGATTTTTGCACAGAAAATTCTCAAATTATTATCTCCAGTCACTTATTCACAACTCTTCTCTCCTTGGATGTAACTCTGTCTTTTCAAATTTAAAACGAAAACATTTAAACAATTATTTTCCTCATTGAACATGTTTTCCTTTACAAATACCCCACTTGTGTCTAAATTAACACTTTTTTTCCTCTCAGTTCCCGGGCCAAAATCCTTGGTATTATTTTTTCATGTTTCCTCTAAGTTGTATACTCCAACTGTATTCTGTTACTAAGTCTTTTTACTCACTTTAATATGCCTTAAGGGTTCTTGATTTACGCTACCTCTTTCACAGTCCTACTTCTTTATTTGGATTATAATAAGGGTCTCTATCCACAGTATTTCTAGATTTCTCCACCCCAAAAATTCAGCTAAGAGTGTGAAAACGTAAGCCCTTTGACAAATCCACTTTATAAGGTTAAAAAGATTCTGATTTTACAAAGTCCTCCCTGCTTATTTCCCCTCCATAGAATCCTGGGAGGCAAAGCCTCTGCCTTCACCACGTCCAGAGGGACTTCCGGTATTTATTTCCAATTCCCATTGATGGATTAAGCCAGAGAGAACATGGGGACATGCAACAGTGTGATTTGTTACCTAACACAGCTACTGATGAAAGTCAGTAGGAGAATTTATGAGACACTGCTACCCAGGAGCCCCTTTTCAGTGCACAAACTCAAACTAGTCTTTTATACACTGGTAAGATTCTTCCTCTTCATGAAACTGTTTTCCTTACTGACAGACCAATTTCTTCCCAAACATGGTCAAGAACTACCCCTCAAGATAAGGCTAACCCCAGGATGTACTGTTCCACCTCAACTTTCTGTTGACTTCATTTACATATTTTTATTATAATTATGTTCTCAAAATATAAAGAATTGCCACAGCAAATGAGAGTGATGTACTATAGAGTTTTGAACAAGATTGTTAACTCACCTGCTCAGATTCCCACTATCTTCTTGGATTCCCTGAATCTCAGAATAAATAATAAAAACTATTTCATAGTTCTGCTTGCTTTATCTTCTGGCTTTGCTCACTCTCCTCCAGATCTAGTTATTGTGCACTGCTTTCTCCAAATCTCTTTTTTAAGATTTCTATTTCCATGGGTATCACAACCTTGATGACTTCCCCCTTCTTCTAAATCATAGCTCCCCACTCTGATCAATACTTCCAACACAATATCTCTCTGATAATCACATGTGTCTTTCCACTTTTTGCTCCTATCCAAAGAAGCTTAGTGGTAACTTTTTCTTACCATGTGTGCTTTTTGTTTTCCTTTTATTTCATATATCTAGATTCCTCCAATATAAACCTAATAGAAGAATGATATTTCATTCTTCTATTATTCTCCCCCAACTCTATAGAAAATCAACTAAGCTATCCTTTCTTCAAAAGAGTGATAATATCTTAACAAAGCCTAATTGTTGTTATCTTGAAAAACATATGAACTATCATTTCTGTAAGTCAAAAAAGGCAAGTAGAGACAATTTGTGTGGTTCAAACTAATACATTCAGAAGCAACAGTTTGTAATCTCCATGGATAGTTTGACATCTGTATTCAATTTTCCCAAAGTAATTTTCCATTTTCAATGCTTTTTTTTTTTTTTTTTTTTCTGTTGGGTTGCTTCCTCAAACTTTGAGCTTCATTGTCACATGGCTATCTGAAAAGTTTAAAGGCAACTTATTTCCTTATCATTCATCAGTCACACTCTGAACTGTCAAGGGTAAGTTCTGACTAGATAGAAACAGAAGCAACATGCAATTCAAACAGTTTTTGGGTCATTGTCATGTGTAATTAGAATTTTAGACTCTCTGCTCAATGGAAATTCAGCATTTAAGTGCCCAGGTGCCACAATCCTTATGTGCCATCTATTAAGGGCAAGTTATTTACCCTTAGATGATGACTGAAGAGAACTCTTCTATCTGTCTATGTATCTGGATAAAGAAGCATTTGTGTTATTCTACCCAGAATGATCCATTTAGAATAGCTATCCAAATTCAAGTTCAAACAACCGATAAGTCACAGAACCTTAATAGAAGCTTAGGATGCCAAGTCTTCTTTCAATTATTCTACTTATCTACCTTTTTAATTCAACTTATCTCACATTAATACATAGCATGTACTTGTAACTCGTGTCAAACAGTACACCTTACTATTACTGATATACTTTATGCCCTGGTTTCATTTTTCAGAACCAAATGCTTCTGAATAAACAAACTTAATCGTGTCCTTTGGTTTTGTAAGCCAGATAGAAAGGATTAAAACAACTAAATACCATTTATTATTCACCATGTGCCATGCACTAGATACTTTTACATACAGTAACTAGGCTACTTTTAACAGTAACCCTATATGATAGACAGAAACTTTTCTACAATTTAAAGAGGAGTAAACTAAAATGTAGAGTAGTTACGTATTTTGCACACAATTAAAATCTTCTCTCAGCAGCCTCCATATTCTGTCTACCTGAGTAAAGAGGAGGTAAATTATCTCCTATTTCTATCCATGACCATAGTGTAATTCTTCCCCTTGTCTATGAGATGAGATGATATCCAAACCAAAAGATAGCTTATGGTTTGGATAAAGTAAATTTAAAGAAAAACTTCTACATTATAGCTAGGTTTCAGCAGCATTTATCTACTATTATTATCTACTCATTTGTCTCAGATTTATTGATGCCTTTGGTGTACCAGGCAATATCATTAGGCACTATAAGAAATGTTAAGTCTGAAAAATATCTGCTCCCTAATTTCAGGAGCTTAGAGTCAGGTACAGGTGATGAAATGTACATGAATCTGAGATGTTCTTGAGACAGAACAGGGAAAAACAATAAATACCATGCAAGTGATATTTAGTGCTTTAGAAACACCGATTTAGAAAGGGTAAATTTGGAGTTTTCTTAGAAACCTTAGTGAAAGAGTTCTCATTTGAGCATGGCCTTCAGAGAAACAGGATTGAGGGACAGCTTCATGAATTGGTCTCACATTCATTCCTTTAAAATGTGAGGTTGTGCATTTACTAAAGTTGATTTCCATCTGGAATACCAGTCTTTAAACTCTCACCTGTGCTTGGGTCCTAGCAAAACAAAACACTCTAAATCATTTCCTTTCACTTTATGTCTTATATCAAAATGATCAGCCAAAGAGAACTAATCATCTAAATAAATGGCTTACAGCTTGGGTAGAGCCTTTCACTAAGATCACATATAATAAGCTATTGAGTAGACAAAAAATATACTTGATTTAGCAAAGCAAATCTGAGTGAGCTTAGTTATCAAATCACTAGGTATTTGAATATTTATTGAAAAAGATACTCCCCCTCCAAGAAAAAAAAAAAAGAAAAACAAAAACAAAAACCCAAACTAGATTACTTTCTCTTTGATTGACTCTCTTCAATAGTATTATGGAACAGTGTTTGGTAATTACTTATCAAGGAGAGCGCAGGCTAGGAACATTTAGTTATGTGATTACAACATTTAACATAGTTTTCATCTATCTGCTATTTGTAGACAAATGTGCCAGACTCTATGGAAATATTCTTGTGAATCAGATATTCTATCTGCACATGAAAAATTTAATTCTGTTAGTGGATCTTAAGATCCCCACGACTATGTTAGTACAGGGCTGGATGGGTGTATACAAGTGTGCAAAGATGTAAACAATGAAAGCACAAAATGCAACATTTAAACCTGGCTGGAAGAATAAGCATTTAAGCTGGTATTAAAAAATAGATATGACGCGCGCGTGTGTGTGTGTGTGTGTGTGTGTTTAAAGCACAAAGAGCAGAGGGCATATGTTAAAGGTAGGAAGTGTGGCACATCATTAAGAAAATGGAAACAATGTGTTCTGGCTAAAGCACTAGCCCTCAAACCACAGAATCTGCAAATTTTGTTAAACTGAAGATTCCTGGTCTCTAGGCCTAAAATGTCTAATTAGTAGGCTTAAAGTGAGACCCCAAAATTTGCATTTTTGACCAGTAATCTCCCAGTCTCTCTACATACCTCACTTTAAGAAAGAAGAGGCTAACTCACAGTGATTCAAACCATGACTGTCTATTAGAATAATCTAGTGGAGATTTTTTTGTTTATTTAATTTTATGTTCATAGGTGTTTGGGGAACAGGTGGTGTTTGGTTACATGAGTAAGTTCTTTAGTGGTGATTTGCACGATTTTGGTGCACCCACCCAGCACTCAAAAAGCCAGTTCCCAGTCTTACTTAATTAGTCTGGAATGGAACCCTGGTGTGTATGTTTGTTAAAACATCTCCAGGTGATTCTAAATGTAGCCAGGAGTGGAACTGCTAGAGGGTGAGTCGTGGGGAGGAGAGGGGAAAAAAAAAAGTAAGTTGGAATCAGTTTGTGGAGGACTTCGATGCCACGCTCAGAAGTTTGAATTTTACTCTGTGGATAGTAGAGAATCACGAGAATTTCTTGAGTGCCCATAATCATAACTGTGTTAAGGAAGTTGCCGTGAAGTGCAGAGGAATTGGAGACGGGAAATACTAGAGGCACCCAGAGCCCTTTTAGGAACTCTGCAGTTGGCAAGTGAGCCCTCTTATCTTCTGCCGGCTTAACGGTAAATTGTTTCAGCTTTGCTGAAAACCAATTTGCAAATGTAAATCATAAGCTTAAAAATCTACTCTTTGACTAAGTAATGCCTCTTCTAGATCCCATGGTAAGTAAATAAAATTATGAGTTTCAAGTTGAGGCTAAGTGAAGAAAAAAATTTAAAAAAGAAATAAAATTACTGACAAACATTTGAAATATAAAGATAGTTTTTATAGAAAAAAACTTTAAAAAAATGAATATATATATTAATGAACAAC